TTGCCTGTAAGGAGCACTCTAGCTGTCAGATCAGGCAGGGACTCTTAAAAATGTGTGTTGTTACCCAGCTAATGAAAAATAAAAACAAACTACGCATTGCTAGTTACCAGTTGGTTCAAGACTCATGGTAACCCATGCATGTCAGGAAAGAATTATGTTTTCCACAGGATTTTCAAGGACAGATTTTTCTAAAATTGATTTCTAGGTCTTTTCGCCAAGGTATCTTTGGATAAATTGACTCTCCATTTTTCCTAATGCAACTTTGTACATTAATACTGTGTACCAGTCAGCAACTTCAAGCTACAAGTGCTGCTGTTGTCAACAGGCCCCAAGTATAAGAGAGGAAGTTTCACTACCTTTGCCTGTAAGAAATATCTTGACTTCACTTCCTCCAAGCCACATATAGTTGAAGGAAACCATTATTTTCCACATGAACTTATTTACTTTGTATAAATGTTGATTGCATTTTTATCTGTCATAGAATTATTTCCATGAATAAACCATATTTATGGAAGCAATCTCTATCATTAAATGTGCTAGAAATCTTGTTATTGGTGAATTATTAAGCATATCCCATAGGAATGATGGGAGTGGTTGGATACCTGACCTGTGATAATGTAGAACCAAATAAACCACAAATATGACCATTCTGTGTCATAAAAGTAAATGTGCAACTATAAATTTTTTGTAATGATTTAACTTTAGAGCAATACATTTAAATTTAATCATGTTGTAAACTTTTAAAATGGAAAGACAACTAGAGAGATCATTAACTAGGCCTTTCCTTTTCTGTATGGAGAAATCAGCACAAAGCAGTCAAGCTGAATAACAGTGTGCCTACAATTTCAGCTAATTAAAGTGTCAAGCCAGAACTTCTCATTTCTGATTGCCAAGGAAAAAAATGTTTTCTTCTCATAAGGATTTAAAAAAAAAAAAATTAAAACAGTGCACGCATTAGAAGTGTAAACACATTAGTCATACTGGAAAAAAATCTTTAAAAAATATAAATTTGACAGAAATGTGCCATCAAAAGTATATTGTTTAACCACTAAATTTTACTATTAATTTAGTCACTTCTTTACATTCTGAAAAAAGCTCTTTAAGACTGAGTGAGATAGCTCTGATTATTTATTAACCTTGCCTTTTGTTGACATTGCTTTGTATGTTTCAAAATGGTATTTTTATTAATAAAATATTTAAATAGCTATTCTGCTTATCTTAGTAACTGAAATGTTAAGGAATTCTAGGTGCAAGATTTTAGAGCCTCGTCTCTTAGTGGTCCTCAGAACAATGGCATTTGCAGTTCAGGAGCTTAAGACGAAGAGCTCTGCCAGACCCCATAGTCACTGAATCAGAGCCTGTTAGCTCCCTCGTTGATTGCTGTGCACATTCAAGTTTGATAAATCCTTGCTTACAGAATTAGACATCTTAGAACCTGGTCTTATTATTTCTTTATTTGTTTCTTCATCATCTTTCTTTCCATCTCCCTTGCCCCACTCCAGAAATCAAACATGAAAACATCAGAGTTCCATTAATAACAAAAAAGATAAAAATGTGTGGACCATAAGACAGGAAACTCATCTTCTTCTTCCTCCTGAGTTATCAGGGAGATTGATTGGCTAAACTTATGCTTTTTTGTGTTTAGAATGCTTTTAGCATCTGGCAGATCCATATCCTTTTGAATCTTCTGGTTCTCCTTGAAGCATTGTTCACATTGCTCCCTGCTCCCGAAGCCAAAGTTTTGCAACTCTATTGAGAAGGGAAGTACAGGAGTTAATTATACAGTGTTGAATTTACACTGGGTGAGCCACAAAGCATCAAAAGCAGGACTGCCTGTTCCAGTTAAGGGTAAACAGAACAGCACAAGACTCATTGTGGGTCATGTAGCCTGGGAACCCTGTGAATAACAGGCCTTGTGAGGCAGAAAAGAAATGGTTATAATTAAAATAAATGTAAAATACTTAAGTCCAAGCCTCTGTATACAAAGATGACTCCATTGAGTTTCTCAGAGTAAGTGACAGATTAAAAGATAGTCTAGCATAATGATTAAGAGCTTAGCCTCCAGACTAAAACTTTCTGAGTTCAAATTCTAACCCAATCACTTTTGGCTTCATGATTGTGGGTAATAAATTACATAGCGTCTTAATTTTTTTCATCTGAAAATAGGGAAAACAGTAGAACCTACCTCATAGTTTATTGTAAATAAACAGTAAAGGAGAAAATCTACAAGTGATGCAAGTAGTTTGTGATTGGCTGCTAACCAAAATGTTGGCAATTTGAACCCACTGCTGGTGCCTTAGAGGTGAGGAGTTGTGCTGCCGACACAAATGTGTGCAGTTCAAATCCTCCAGTTGCTCTGTGAGAGGAATATGCATAGCTTCATCTCATATGATTTACTGCCTCTGATAACCTGCTGGGGGCTCAGCTATGAGTCAGTGGTTCCTACTTGATGGCACATGTCAGTAACAAACAGAAGAAAAGGCCTGGCAATCTGCTTTCCATTAAAGATCCTAGCCAAGATAACCTATGGAGTAGTTCTACTCTGTAACATATATGGGGTCACCATGAGCTTGGGCCAATTCAATGGTAGCTAACAATGACAATATATGAAAAGTATTTAGCACACTATTGATAACACAGAAAGTACTCAATAAGTGTGAAGGTTTTAAAAAGTGAATTCTATATTATTCTTCTGATCAGTTTCCCTTTTGTGCAATAAAATGGTTTTATGTAATTTTCCTGAGCTGTAGCTGTGGTTTATGGCAACAAAGGAGGGGGTGGGGGGTGGCGCGGAAGCTGTGATTTTAACTAAAAGGAATTTATCTGGAGCTAAAGAGTGTTGGATATATCTGGAATAATGACAATTATGTTATCTACGGTGATAGTAGTGGTGGAAAATATGATCGCAGAAAATGAGAAATACCAGAGTCCCTTGAGGCACTAAATTATGAGTTAAAAGAGTAGAGATATACATGTACCTGAAAAGAAAAGCCAAGAGACGATTCCCAAGGAACATATCTGGAACATATTCATATGCTGAAAGTTAAATAATAGAAATTATTTAAAATTATTTAAAGGTAATCATCACCATTGGTCATTACAGCTTTTATTTTCTTTGTGTAAAATGCCTTGTTGCTGTTGTTGTTATACGCCGTCAAGTCACTTGTGACTCATGGTGACCCTGTGTAAAATAACCCTGAAACCTGCTCTATCCTGTGCCAATTTTATTGTCTGATACACTTACCCTCATTACCCCAGTCACTGAATCAAGCCATCTCATCAGCGGTCTTCCTCTCTTACGCTGTCCCTCCAACCTTCCGAGCATGATGTCCCTCTCCAAGGACTGGTCACTTCTTGGGACATGCCCGAAGTATTTCAGACGAAGCCTCAGAATCCTTGCCTCCAAGGAGCAGCCTGGTTTTACCCTCTCCAGGATGAGCCTGTTTGTTCTCCTGGCAGTCCATACTATATTCAATACCCTTCTCCAGCACCTCAGAGGTAAATGCCTTACACAAAAAACAAAATTATTTTAATAATTGGGCAAACCTTAGATACAGCCAAGTTTTTTTCTTTAAAAAGTCAATATTTGACTTCTTTTTATAAGCATCGTCTCTTAGTTTACTGTTGTTGGATACCGTCAAGTCAACTACAACTCATTGCAACCCTGTGAACAACAGATGTGAACCTCGCCCTTTCCTGCGCCGTCCTCACCAGCTCTGTCGTGCTCAAGCCCTTTGTATCAATCCACCTTATTGAGGGTCTTCCTCTCTTTCGCTGACACTAGAGGGCAGAATGTGCAAAAGTAACGATAATACTATAGGTCAATCCTCTTCATGGTTATATGCACCTGAAGCACAGGCAAGAGAAGAATTTCTGAAGAGTTTAATCAGATAATGTTTTACAATTTTGTCATTCAGTTAGATGTTGACAATATTTTAATGTGTTTGTATGTAATTTAGGCATAAGACAAAATGGGAAACTAGTGCAAGTTTGTAGATGTTCCACTAATAGGACTGTAAATAGAGTGTAAAATATTTCCCAACTTAAGGGAGTTAGGATGAAAGAGTGACTTAGAAAAGATGATTTAGAAATAGTTACACCAGAAAGCAGTGTTGACACCTTGTTCTGTATCTACTAGGATCCTGCTGACCCTGCCTGTTCAGAAATGAATTTAAGAAATATGTATTGTTCTGTTGTCTTGAAGGTTCGATTCATGCTGGAGAGAGCCTGGGATAGGTAGAATTGGTGGCTGGAAGGCAGTCAGCAACTATTACATTAATCTTTTTAGATGACAGTAGGTGAGAGGAAGAGACTGGTTTCCAAGGTCAATTGTAGATTTGTCTGTCATAGACACTTTTAAAGGAAACTGATGGCACAATTTAGCTCACTGCTTTCAAGTAGGTCCAAACCCACTGCAGTCCATCATCAGCCTTTGGTGCCTCTGAATCACAGTGGGAACAATGGTCCCGTTTTCTCCCCCAGAGCTGCTGATGAATAGAAGCACCTGAGATGCATGGCTTTTGAGTTAGCATTGCAACACACTAAATAATGTACCACCAGGGATCCCTGTGATGGTGCAAACTGTTTGCAATCAACTACTAACCAAACAGTTGGCAATTCCAACTCAGCCAGCAGCTCCATGGAAAAAAAAGTCCAACATTCAGCTTCCACAGTGATTCCAACAAAAAAGAGCCCATGGTGCAGTTCTCTGTAACATGTGAAGTCACTTTGAATCTGCAGATAACTCTGCAGCAACTAAAAACGGCCATCTTTTAAAATGATTTTAAAAAAATCTGAAATAACCCACTGTTCAGAAATAAGCGACCAGGATCATCTCTTTTTCTAGAAATAAGTAAAACTCCACATCTGTCAGTGGATGGTTAAATAAATCACTTGGGATCTAGTTAATTCCTTCAGCCTATAATACCTTCTGGAGGCTTGGTTCATGTTCTCTGACCTCCATCTAATCTGACATTTTTTTCTTTGCTGTTTTTCCACAGTGCTCATGTGTCTCAAGTCAGCAGTGTGTCGACAACTGGAGAGTAAGTTATTTGGAATTTTTTTCCCTCTTTCTCATTTATTAAAAGAACAAATAATTCTAATGACATCGCCTACTGAAAATTTAAGAAAATAAGCAATCAATGATCACTGTTAGAAGAACTCTACACAGAAGAAAGGTTTAAATAAGAAACTCCTATTTGAGCTTTTTCTGAGTGCATCATTAAAGACAGTGCAACCATCTGAAAATAGAAACTTTTTGTTTGCTTCATTAGCAATAATGTCATGGGCAATTAATATTTGTGAAACAGCCTCTGTACTTTGAGAGTTATCTTGCAATGGGAGATCCCATTAGATGTTGAAGTATTAACTGAGTCGTTCATTTCATTTAGCCTGTAGTTATTGAGTGCCTGCAACGTGCCAAGCATAGTGTCAGGTCTGTGACTTCCAATTTACCTTCAGTTCTGCCTTGAGGGACTTAACGGATTAATGTTATTATATGAGAACTGATTCACAGCTTACCCTCTAGCATATTTTAAGAGATGCTAAATCACGTGGGAGGAGATTGCTCAATTTTTCTCCCTCAGAGCAGCTGGTGGATTTGAACAGTGTTCCTTTGGGTTGACAGCACAACTCCTTATCACTTAACTATCAGAGCTCTCTTTAGAAACTAATAGGGACCCAAAAAGAGAAGCAAGTAAGTGATGGAGTAAACCCTTTCTCTGAAAGGCAATAGCAGTACAGTACTAATGATGTTAGCCATATGCTTCCCTCCCCTTCCCCAAGTCTACTAGTTGCATGGAGAATAAAATCTAAGCTCTACTTATCTGCCCTCTGCCTACCTCTCTGAAGGCCTTGTTCATTACTCTTCAGTGTCATGACTTTTCTGTTCTTAGAATAGGCCAAATTAATTCCTACCTTAACATCCTTCTGTTGTGAAAATGGTTCATATACTAGCCTAAAGCTTGGAAGTTCAAACCTACCCAGAAGCACAGTAGGAGAAAGTCCTGATGATCTGCAACTCTAAAGATTAGAGCTGAGAAAAGCCTCTGGAGCACACTTCTCTGTGACACACATGGGCAAAGTGGTTTGAAATGAACCTACTAACAGTGGGTTTGTAGTGGTGCAGAGAGACTTTGTAATGGATGTTCCTCAACCTTGCTGACACTTTATTATTCACCTGTTTGTTCAAATACTATCTTGTCAGAGCAGCCATCTCTCGTTTTCTGTAGCCACTGCCCATCTCATTATTCTGATTTTTTAGAGAATATGCCATTGTCTGAAATTATATTGTTATCCACTTTGCCCATAAGAATATAAACTCCATAAAGACGATGGATTATCTCTCCTGGTCATTGATGTGTCCCTAGCACCAGTACATTAAAAAAAAAATATATATATTTTGATTTGCTTACAAAGTTTGTATACATTGTGTTTCACACTATTCTTCATTCCCATTGTGTTTTGAACAATTATTCTCATTCATTATGTTTTTTATTATTATTAATTTTAATAGACATTTACAGAGGTTTTGGATTTCCATTCATTCATTTCCGCACTTTTCTCCCTGCCCACCCCTCCCCACCAGCTCGCTTCCCCCTCCAAAGAGAAAAAGAAAAAAAAATGTCTTCATTAGTATATCATTATGTGTTTTAAATTTCATTTTATTAATTTTAATGAACATTTACAGAGATTTTAGATTTTCATTCACTCATTGTTGCACTTTTTTCTTTGTCCCCCTCCCCCCAGTTTGCTCCTCTCTTTGAAAAGCAAAAGATAAGCTTCTTCATTGGTAAACAATCCCCCCAACCTCGACCCTGCCCGCCCCACCCCCAATGCACTCCACTATGCAACCTTAATTCTGGATTCCTCTGATAATCATAATATGCTATCATATATCACTTTTAAACTGTTCTCTCCCTCATCTGTTTCAATTCAGTATAGGTAATCTATCCAGTTTTTCTAAGTCTTACCCCAACCCGGATGTCAGTCCTCTTTTACAATGGTGGCACTATGCAGTATTTGTCCTTTTGTGACTGAGATATTTTATTCAGCATAATGTCCTCAAGGGTCACCCATTTTGAATAATATTGCATGAGTTCCTTGTTTTTCAATGCAGCATAGTATTCCATTGTGTGAATATATACCACACCTTCTCTATCCATTTGTTTGTTGATGGGCACTTAGGTTGTTTCCATCTCCTTGCTATGTTTTATAAAATTGATCACTTTTGGACTATGCCTATTACCCTGTCTTTTCAGGTCCCCACTGGACCTTTCTCATTTCCTGTACCTCCTCCCTCCACCTACAAAATTGTGCAGCCCTGTGTTTTCACCTCTGTATATCCTCACCCCTCTGTTCCCAACCCTTTCCACTGTGGATCCCTGTACATGATTTACTAGTTATCCTTCTATTTCTACAATAATGGTTATATGCAGCATTTGTCCTTATGAGGCCTAGTTAATTTATTCAGCTTAATTCCCTCCTGTCTCTCCCAAGTTATGCAGTATTTTTAAAAAATCATTGTTCCTGAATGCTGAATAGTCTAGGATAGGAAAAAAGCTGACAAATGCAGCCAGAAATGCACAATCTGGATAGGATAAAACTGATGAATGGGAGCTTCTAAAGGGTAAATACCCTGTAGGCATCAAAAACTTGTTCCAGTAGGGTGAAAAAGAAAACTTATTGGCTGGGAAAAAAACATTTGTCAATACCATCTCAGACAAGGATCTCATAATGAAAGTTTATAGAATAGTACTGGGCCTCCATAAGAAAAAGACTGATAACCCATTTATAAAATGAGTGAAAGACATGGAAAGATTTTTCACAGAGGATGACATATCTAAATGGCCAAAAGACACATAAAGAAATGCTCCAAATCATTGACAATAAGAGAGATGCAAATAAAAACCACAGTGAGATATCATCTCACCCCAGTAGCCGTGGTAGTTTAGCAGGGTAGCAAGCAATTAATACTGGAGAGGATATGGAAAGGTGGGAACTCTTATAAACTGTTGGTGGGATTTTAAAATGGTATAACCACTCTAGAAGGCAGTTTGGCACTTCCTCAAAAAGCTGAACATAGAAATTCCATTATCACCCAGCTATACCACTACAAGGAATATACCCCAAGGAAATTATAACCGAGACATAAACAGAGATTTGTATACCAATGTGCATAACAGCATTATTCATCATTGAAAGAACCTGGAAACAGCCCACATGTCCAAAACAACTAAATGGATTGAGAAATTGTGCTGAGTTATACAATGGCACTCAGGAGCAATGATTTTGAAAATTATTACATAACTTTGGAGAATATGGAGAGCATTATGCTGCATGAACTAACTCGGTCTCATCCTATATAAGGCCATTACTATAAAAAAATAGAAGGATAAGTAGTAAAATGGGGGGCAAAATGGAAAGGGATGGAAGCAGAGGGATGATGGTGAGCAGGGGGAAATCATGGGGTTTCACAACTGGTGGATGGAGGGAGGTGGTAAAGGAAATGGTAAAGACCTGGCAGGGATCTGAAAAAAAAAATGGGGTAATGGTGGACATAGTTCAATGGTGATTAATTTTATAAAGCACAATGAACAGAAATGATGGTATGAAGCACAATGTGAATGAAGGATAGTATGAAACGCAATGTATATGAATTTTTTATGCAAACTAATATAAATTTGTGTTTAAAAAGTACATCTGGAAAATCTAAATGTCTTTAATTTTTTAAAAACTATAATTTAACTCAGTGCTAATTCTCAATCTGAACATTAGATAGATATATGTGTAAGTTTGTGTGTGTGTGGTTCTTTTACAAGTGAAGGAAACCTATTTTGAAGAAACTGTTTAGAATTTTCGTTGCCAGATTATTCAGAATTAAGTAGCGTGGTGATAAAAGAAGGATTAGACATGTTGAAGGATTATGCAGCTTTAAATATGATATCATTTCTATCTGATCGTGCACTCTTTTTTTTTAAAGAATCTTTTTTTATTCACGTTATTTTCTCTTTCTTTCCTGTCTTTTTTTTTATAATTTTTTTTTTTTTTACAGAGGTTTTGGATTTCCATTCATTCATTGCCGCAATTTTCTCCCTTCCCACCCCTCCCCACCAGCTTGCTTCCCCCTCTGAAGAGAGAAAAGAAAAAAATTCCTTCATTAGTATACAATTGCCATGTCCCTTCCCCCCACCCTCCACCCCTAGTACACTTCTCTATGCAACCTTAATTCTGTATTCCCGTGCTAACCATAATACTCAATCATATATCACTTCTAATCTGTTCTTTCCCTCATCTGTTTCAATATACATAATTTATCCAGTGTTTTTCTGTCATACCCCCACCCTGATGTCAGACCCATTCTACGACAGTGGCACCATGCAGTATTTGTCCCTTTGTGACTGAGATATTTCACTCAGCATAATGTCCTCCAGGGTCACCCACTTTGAATAATATTGCATGAGTTCCTTGTTTTTCAATGCTGCGTAGTATTCCATTGTGTGGCTATACCACAGCTTCTCTATCCATTCGTTTGTTGATGGGCCCTTAGGCTGCTTCCAACTCTTTGCTATTGTAAACAAAGCTGCAATAAACATGGGTGTGTACTTATCGTGCACTCTTTCAGTCCTTCAGGCTGACCTATTTTCCTCAGGTTGAGCAAAGTAATCTATAGTTACAACTTTAATCACACATTAATATAATAATAACAACAACATAATAATATATATTAGCTTCAATTACATATATAACAATTTAATAGATCGGCATTTCGGAAGGACAATGCCATACTACAATGAGTAGTAATTGTCTTGATAAGATTTTTAATAGCATTATTCCCTATATAATTTTATCTTAAAGGATTCTAAGAAGATAGTGGACAACATGTAATTCTTTTTTTTCAAATCTGCTTTACAAATCATATTGCCTTTTTCTGCAGAGTTAGTACAAATTCGGGAGGAAATCAATCTTTGTAAGAATATGTTCATTTTTATTCCATGAGAAAAAAATATTTCCTGATTCTGTCTTATATTCAATGACCCTTCTTTCCTTAATGCCTCCCATAACTGTTGCTCTGCTTGCTGAGAGCATTTCAGTAATCCTGTACTCAGAAAGATGAGACACACAGTATCAACTCGGTGGAATTTTCGTTTTTAGCTCATGATACAAACATTTTAGCAATGAATGCTTTGCACATTTTTTTGCTCAACAACAAATATTATTGGAACATACAGTCAAGTGAAGACATTTTCAAAATGATGGGCATTTACCTTCAAAGACAATCATTCATAAAGTTGATTGTTTAATTGACTCTTTTTATCTCTCCTTCCCCTGGCCAGACTCTTGGAAAGAACCATCCGGTCAGCTGTAGAACAGCATCTTTTTGATGTTAATAGCTCTGGAGGTCAAAGTTCAGAGGACTCAGAATCTGGAACATCATCATCATCTTCTTCAACGGCATCTTCCAGACAGCGAAGACGCCAGCCAAAGGACCAGGATGAAATTAAACGAGCCAGAGACATGTGAGTTGGCCTTAGTCCTTCTCCTTATTTGAGTTTCCTTTTGGCCACCTTTTGTTATATTACACCTAAGTGAGGCAGTGTGCTCCTAACCTTCTCTTATTTTAATAGTTAGGTTAAAACTAAAAATATTCATTTTCACAATTCTAAACTTAGTCAACATGTGAGAATTCATAGATGGTTGAATTAACTATTTCAGCTTCTTTTATACATTTAAGATGGTATAGAAAGCCTACTCAAATGTGGTAAATCTTATTACTTCCTCATGAATTTGTTAATCAGAGTCTCGAACTCTGTAAGAAGTTATCATGGTCCTATTCTGAAACAGCTTATATTTTCACATTATACAACAGTGAGCCTGTACTGTTTTTGCTGTAATACTCTGAATTGCTAAATTGCCACTGTAATACTCTATTGATTATATTGTAGAATTTTGAAAAGTTGAACTTTATACTAATCAAAAGAGGAATGCTTACTTTTTTCTTGTTTTAAAGATTAATTATAAGAATTCCCACAGATAAATTTTTAACTTATGGGGCTTTTATCTTCATTAAAGAATTTAATGAAATATAGATGAGCAGTTACTATTTATTTAATAATTATTATTTAAACTATCAAGGAAAAGAATCCTATATGATAGACTATAGACATGTAGTACATTTCTGAAAGGTTTGGTTTTCATGTTTAGTAGCTTTCAGTCTCTATAAAGTTACTGTTTTAAGCCTTTTATTATTAACTTCAAAATCTAAGCTAGACTGTATTCTCTCTTGTTCTTTTTCTCCTGGGTTCTTAATTAACATCAAAAGTTTTATGGAAAAAAAAGGAAACTTCTGTTGCTTTAAGAAAGACAAGAAATAGTTTAAGTTAATTTTATGTTACACATCATTTTGATGTTTCAAGGCTGTATTAAAAAGTAATTATAGAAATAAATGAGTAACTGAAACAACCAGCTAACTTTTCAAGTGGTATATGCAGCACCTTTAAAAAAAAATAGATTTGTTTTGGAGCTGGTAGCTAAGAGGAAAAGTTGAAATGATCCATTTAGAAAATTTAAAAATTAGAAGAGGTGACTTCCATTTACTGTTAGCTACCAGCCAAGCTGCGGGGAAAGTGTTTCAAGAGTGTAATTTGCTTACTATCTATTCTGTTACACAGCAGGTACATATTTATCATTTAGCATGATTCTTATCTTTTGCCTCATTTTTTTAAGCAGTGTGTGACAACAGTTTGCATTTTAAAAATAGCCCTGTGTGTCAAAACATCCTGCTTTCCATATACTTTGAGCAGACGGATAGTCATTAAGATTGGGAATGTTGATTAACATGATAGAAAGAAAAAGATTGACATGAGAGTGTTGAGTGTGTAGAGTTGGGCAGGGAGAAGGGTTGTGGGGGAGTTGGAGCCATAAATGAACAAGGTTGGAAAGAGACAGAGAAATAATGAAACATGGTATAACCTCCCTTGTAGAATTTAGGTATAATAAAAAAGATTTTCTAAGTCCAAGGATATTGCTAATATAAATGTTCTTGTCTCTTTAACAAACAAACTAGCAATGTCAGGAAACATAAAAAGGGAGAAAAGTAGAGGCTGACCAGTAATTAAATATTACCAGCTCTTAGTTTTCCTTCATGATCTTTTCCACTGCTTTATTAACATGTGCTTTCTAGTCAAGTGTACAGATTTGTGAAGGAGCCGTGGGGATATGAAGTATATATAGTTGAGTAACTTATCTTACACTTGGTCATTAGTGTGATTTATGCATTTAGAAGTTTAATTTCTTCCCCCCCCCTACTAGTTTATTTACAAAATTCTAATACAAATCCGAATAAATTTTCAAATTTTCAATTTCCCTCACCCCCTCCCCACCCATCAAATTGTATAACCCTCTGTACATCCACATCCCTCTGCTTCCAGCCTCTCCCACCCCTCCTGGATCCTTATACTCATTCTACAATAATGGTCTTATACAAATTTATTCTTGTGGGACTGAGTTAGATCACTCAGCATAGTGCTCTCTAGTCCCTCCCAAGTTAGGTAATAATTTACAAAGTTATTGCTCCTGTGTGCTGCATAGTATTTCATTGTGTGAATGTTCCATAATTTCTCAATCCATTCATTTGTGGTTGACATTTGGGCTGTTTCCATGTTCTTGCAATGGTGAATAATGCTGTTATGAACATTGCTGTACAAATCTCCATTTGTGCCTCAGTTCATATTCTCTTCAAGTAGTGAAATAGCTGGATCATATGGAATTTCTATGTTCAGCTTTTTGAGGAAGCGCCAAACTGCCTTCCAGAATGGTTGCACCATTTTACAGTCTCACCAACAATGTATAAGAGTTCCTATCTCACCACATCCTCTCCAACATCTATTACTTGCTGCCCTGTTAAACTTTGCCACTCTTACCGGAGTGAGATGGTACCTCATGGTTTTGATTTGTATCTCTCTTATTGCTAGTGATTTGGAGCATTTCTTGATGTGTTGTTTGCCATTTGAATATCTTCCTCTGAAAATTCTTTCTAACCAAAAACTCAGCCATTCAAACCTATAGTAACTCTGAAGGAGAAACTGAGGCAGTCTGCTTCCATAAATACTTATCCTCTTGAAAACCCTGTGGTGCAGTTCTGTTCCATCTTATCAGATTGTTATGGGTCAGAATCAACTTGATGGTGATGGGTTTGATGTTTGTTTATTTGTTTTTTATAATTTTTTTATTTTCCTTTTTTGCATCATTCTCTTACCGATGAGGCCCCTGCTCCTCTGAGCCTAGTCACTGGGTCACTGCCCTGTGTTGCCCTTTCTTCTGCTCTTGGTTCATCCTGTGCTGAGTCTCCTATTAGGTCTTTAGAAGGGTAAGGTCCTTATCTCTCAGGGCCCCAAGTCATCTCATTTTCCTTGACTCGCTTTTCCCAGAAGTCACTTTCCTCCAGCCCCTTCACCCTCTGCTGTTGTCCAAGGTAATCTCAGTTTTCCACTCACTTGCTTTGATTCAAGCAAGCCTCTGATTCCAATCTTGTTCCCCTCTAATTCTGCTATCCTACCTTATACTCATCTACTTATTTTTAATATTCTTCTAGCAAGCTAATTATACTGTTATCCCCACTTTCTGTTATTCTCCTCTTTTAACCTCACCCTTTCAATGACTTCAAAAGCATACATGATTGTCCTCTCCAGCATGTCCCAGAGAGATCAGCTGTTGTTGTTAGGTACCATCAAGTAGAATACAGCTCATAGAAACCATATGAACAACCTATCTTAATCCTGTCCTGTTCTGTGTAACCCTCATCATCTCTGACACATGTGAGCCCATTGCTGCAATTACTGTGTCACACCACCTTACTGAAGGCCTTCCTTTCTTTGCCAATGTGATGTCACTTGCCAAGGAATAGCCTTCTCTGGTAGCATGCCCAACGTATGTGAGACAAAGTTTTATCATCCTTCCTCCCATGGAGTATTCTAGCTTCACTTTTCCCCCATATGTGTCTGGGTTTTTTTTCTTTTGACAATCCAGAGGATATTCAGTGTTTCTCTCCAGCACCACTGCTAAGGGCATTAATTCTTCTTTTGTGATCCTTACTCCTTATCCAGTTCTCAGATGGCATAGCAAGTGATTGAATAGACCGTGGCCTGAATCAAGTGCATCTTAATCTTCAAACTGTCATCATTGTCCCTCAGTAATTTGAAGAGATCCATCGCAGTGGACTTGTCCAATGCAGTATGTCTTCTGCCTTCAGCATCCTTAAGTATTGCAACTTGAGACTTGAATTTGTTCTTCAGTTCCTTCAGCTTAGGAAGTGCTGAGAGAGTTCTTCCATTTGATATTCTGATTCCAATTCCTTGCACACATTTTATTATAATACTTTGCTGTGTCTTCCCACGTCATTTTTTGAAATCTTCTGTTCACCTCCTTAAGTGTATTAAAAAAATATGAACTGTGCAGAATGGTTTAAAAGTATCTTGAAAAATAAGGGTCCATTTGTATTATCTATTATTTTGCCTCTAACAATTTAGAAATGTAACCAAGTGAAGAAAAAAAAAATCCTTGAAATCAGTAATGAGCTTATTTCATTCAACGAGTGATGAAAGAGACAGTTAAGTCTCTGCTAAAGTCATCGTGACAAAAGAGCTTAGCCTAAAGCTATGAATACTTCATTTTGGTGCAAATGATTTGTAATTTGTCTAAACAATTCTGTGATGATTATTTTTTTGTTCTTAGGTATGACTGTGATCCATAGCAATCCTATGAACCATGTTTTGAAACAACGAGATATTAAATTCCTTGAAATTATATAGCTATTTAGCTGGATTCAAGCTCAAGCAATCTGACTGCAGAGCCAGGTCTCCTCACCATTAATGGACCCTCTCTCCAAGAACTGAGTCTAGTCAAAGTAAGAGAAGCAGGTCAGTCAGTGTTAGGTGGAAGTAGATGAGTCCTCACCAATGCAGCGCAACTCTTTATAGCTAAGCTACCAGCGTTCCCTACTAGAAAGTCAATAATCAATTATTGACAAGCTTGAAAGAAGTAACAGGATTGGCCACCAATCATGATGTATGCCTATTACTTATGTGTTGATTTATATTCTTACGGGAGCTCTGGTGGTCTATTCTGTAAGGAGTTGTGCTGCTAACCCAAAGGTGGTGCTCTTTGTCAGACAGAATCCATTAGCGACTCTATGTGAAAAATTTAGGCTGTCTCCTCTTGTGCAGCTCTGAAATCCTGCTGGAGGGTCAGCTATGAGTCAGTTCTGACTCGATAACAAGAAGCTTTAGGTTATATATGGTAATGAAAACACTAAAATCTGTTCTTTAAGGTTTCTTAAGTTACTCATAGCTAATACAGTGATAGCTGCCATTCAAACCCTATTTGGGGTGATCAGTGTTACTTAAGGAATGGATAGTAACTAAAATATATGTCTATTAAAACTGTGCAAAACAAGTGTTACCTGTATATGCAAGATAAAGGGAAGCATTAGGAAAGGGTTGGTTATTGTATCAGGGAGAAG